AAAAAAAAAAAAAAAAGAACCTTGAAAATTTTCTTTTACAAAATGGCAGTGTCAAGAGCCTAGAGGGAATATTTGCGAGGTAAATACAAACCTTGGTTGTTTGTATTTCTTTACGGGAGTGTTTGTAGTTTTAGCAGAAGTTTGTAATCGGGTCAAATGGAGTTGTTACTATAGTGGTACATTCTCCTTTTGTTTGAAGCTCAGGACATCCTTTCGTCAGCTCTTGTTGCTCATGTTAATTCAGGGAATCCTAACAGAGTCGGCACATGACCCTGGAGACCGTAAATTTACTTTGGTGGAAGCTTTGGCTGAGAATGGAAAAGCTGGAGCTAATGGTAACAGCTTTGAAGAGGTTCTGGGGGTTGATGAGGATGGAGACAGATCAGTTGCATCAGTGGAGGATCAGCTTCGTAAAGAAATGACTGTTTATGAGGTACATCAGTTCGAAAATTTGGGTTAATTGTTGAGTTATCATCTGATAGCAAAGGGACTCCGACTAAATAAAAACGATGGAGACATAAATTTTTTCACACTGATCGAATTTGTGAATTTAATAGCATGATCTTCAACAAAAAGAGGGATTTTTTTTTTTTTTTTGTGTTTTCTGTTGAACAATTATTTTTCCAACTAAATCAACCGTTTCTAATTCGGATTTTTTATTTATTTTTTTTTTTAAAAAACAATTGTTGCAGAAATTCATCACAGGGATGCTTACCAATTTCGGCAGCATGGCTTTGGATCGGATTCACAATACTCTCAAGGTTAAAAAACCCTTCAGACTATTGGCAGCTTTTTATGGATGATTAGCACACGACTACTCTAACCGGGTGAAACCGTTATTTTTATTTTTATATTTTTTACAGATGTTTTGTACAAGTGATCCTACCTACGACAAATCACTCCAACAGTTGCAGAGCTTTTTGGCCGGCCTCGTCGCAGAGGAGAAACTTGAACTTAGAGATGGAATGTATTTCCTGAAAAAATAATGGGTGTATGTATGATTTTACATAAATTATCTTCCATGGGTTTGGGGTTTTTCAAGCAAATATCAAATTGCAAGGTAAGCTTAGGTACCCTTGTTTACTGGTTTGAAAATTATTGAGGTTAATATATAAATGAGTCCCACTTGGTGACTGCAATTGATACACCTGAAAATTGTTGTAAACATGAAAAATATAATGGGAATAAGATTAATCAAAGTATTTTTCTTAAATAATTATGATTGCAAATTTTTCAAATAATAATAATAATAATAATAATAATAATAATAATAATATTCATCACATTTCATTTATTAATAATTATATATATATATTTTTTATTTTAATCACACTTTTCAAAATCTCCCTAAAATATTTTTTTCAAACACTATTAACGAAAAACAATTTTCATTTAACACATCTACCTAACAATTTTATTAACATGGTTGAATACAAAATGTACTGTATGGCAAGTCATATGATCACAACAAGTTAGTATATCATTACATCACTAGTAACCAAAAAGCGCAGAAATTGTAAATAGTGCAATTAATGGGCGTGAAAACGCAATAATTCGAAAGTACAAATTCGACCGTTAGAAAGAGAATGCATCACAATTCGACCGTTAACATTTTCAAAATTTTAAATTTAGTCCCTCACCTGCACCAAACAAAGAAACTCCCCAGAAAAAAATCAACAAAGAAACCCTTAAAATACACTAGTAAAAAAAAAAAAACACAACATTTTTCAGTATGAACATGAGAGAGTTATTAGAAACACCACAAGATGAAAAATTGGGAGTTGAATTAGAGAAAGGAGAGGACAAAGAAAGAATCCAAAATCTGAGATCCAAAGCCACCGAGCATCTCATCAGAGAAGAATACAAAGACTCCATCGAAACCTACTCGCAAATCGTCTCTCTCTGCCGAGATCGCATTTCCAAGAATAAACCAGATGGGCCCCACCTCTCCGAGCTCCGAAGGACCCTCTGCCTCTCCTTCTCGAACAGGGCCGAAGCTCGGGCCAGACAATCGGAAATTTCCGAAGCGCTCAAGGATTGTGAGGAGGCACTGGCCATCGAGAAATCCCATTTCAAGACTCTCCTGTGCAAGGGCAGAATACTGCTGGGCCTGAACAGGTACGGTATGGCCTTAGACTGCTTTAAATTGGCAAATCTTGATCCACAGGCTTGTGAAAATTCTGATTTTGTTAATGGGCTGTTGGAGAAATGCAAAAAGCTCGAGTCTTTATCGAAATCTGGCGCATTCGACGTTTCTGACTGGGTCTTGAGTGGTTTTAAGGGAAAAGTACCAGAACTCGCAGAGTATATTGGTCCGGTTGAGATTAAAAAGTCCGAAATTAGCGGGCGTGGATTATTCGCTACCAAAAATGTCGAAAGCGGGACCTTACTGCTGGCGACTAAAGCCGTTGCAGTTGATCGGGCTATAATGCCTCAAGGGTCTGGTGAAACTGCCCATTTAGTTATCTGGAAGAACCTGATCGACAAAGTTGTGGAAACAGTAAAAAAATGTGGTGAAGTGAAGTTCTTGATCTCGAATCTATCCGCAGGAGAGGACGACGAGGGTAGTTTGGGAATTCCCGAAATCGGGATATTCAGATCGGATGCCGATTTGAACGGTGGCGATTCGTGCAAAGAGTTAGATACGAGGAAAATTTTGAGCATTTTGGATAAAAACTCAATTCTTGAAGACGCAGTTTCATCCAAGGTTTTGGGCAAAAATGCTGACTACCAAGGTGTTGGATTATGGGCTCTAGCTTCCTTCATTAACCACTCTTGCGAGCCTAACGTTAGGCGCCTCCACATTGGCGATTACGTCATTGTACACGCAGCTAGGGACGTGAAGGCCGGTGAGGAACTCACGGTCGCCTATTTCGACATGCTCTCGCCTCTAAACAAACGGGTCGAGATGGCTGAGGAATGGGGGTTCGTATGCAGATGCAAGAGATGCGAGTTTGAAGGAAACTTGTGGTGCAAGCAAGAGATGAGGGATCTCGAGGGCGTTTTGGGGAGAAGGCAAGCGGACGTGATGGGAAATGTGGTGTGTGGATTGGAGGAAGGGATTAGGAGGTGGGTCGTGAGGGGGAAGGGGAAAGGGTACCTGCGGGCCTCATTCTGGGAGGCGTATTCGAGCCTTTACGGGTCGGATAGAGCTGTGAGGAAATGCGGGAGGAAAGTGCCGTCGGTCGAGAGCGTGGTGGATAGCGTGGCGGATAGCGTCGGGTGTGATGAGAGGATTGTGAGGGTGTTTGTGGAGGGATTGAAGAGAAGTGGGATTAATGGTGGGATTATGGAGATGGAGAAGGTGATGAGATTGGGAAGAGGGATTTATGGTAAAGTGATGAAAAGACAAGCCTTGAGAAGTTTGATTCAATTTGGTGGTAATCAAGACTGATTTATTTATTTATTTACTTTTTCAAGTTCTTTTTAAGTGGGGTTGTGATAAATGATAATTTGTTGTTGGGTTGAGGATGATTTGTGTTTATGTTCTTGCTGGGTTTATGGGTTTTGGAGGTGTTGTATATTTTCATGATCTTGATCATTAATACAATAATTCTCATTGATTAAGGTTCTTGATTTCTGTTTTCTTCTCTTTTTCTATGGAATATAAGTAGTTTTACATGTTTGTAATATGGATTTATGTAATTATTTTCTTTTTATTATATTTTCATTGATTTTATGTGCGTGGCATGAAGAAAAATTGGATTCATAGGAGTTTGTTTAACTTGATGTATTGGGTTTTCAATCCCTCAAAGAATCGAGAAAATGATTAATTGGGCATCACAAGGGAAATGGAATAGTTATGCCCCTCTAAAGAAAGTGGAGGAGTCTCTCTTATCTTGTATTTATTTTTTAGATTAATTTAACCTAATGTATAGAATCTTTTTTATTTTTTTATTTTTTGTTTGTTTGTTTGTTTGTTTGTTTGTTTGTGTGTGTACAAAAGATGGAGGCTAGAGGCCCATAACAACTAGACTAAGATTCGATGTGGGTTAGACACTCCGCTAATGTCATGATCAAGCCAAGCTCCTAATTGACGAGATCCGTTGCAAGCCTAACGGGGTGGAAGAAGGTAGTCCCGCATATGATCCGCCGCATAATTGACCACCCTATGCACATGTTGGATTCTAATGTTCCACTCCCTTTGAACCAAACTGCTAATAGCCCGGACTATTGCATCATGGACCCCAAAGTTTTGTTCGGATCCATTGATCATTTTTATCACACATTGGCTATCGATCTCTACTATAACCTATAGAAATCCTAATTCCAGGCAACCACTAGTCCCTGAAAAAGACCTCAAAATTCGGCGCCAGTTATGGTGTTGAGCCAAATATTCATGAGAAATCCCTCGATCCATCTACGGAGCTCGTCCCGAAGCAATCCTCCAACCCCGATCAGGCCCGTAGTGCTATCAAAAGTCCCGTATGTGTTCACTCTGATCCAACCCGAATCAGGTAGAGTCCAATGTATCATACGCACAACATACATCTCAGTGCCTACTCGCTTGTAGGCTTCACAAGCTCGAGCATACGTCTCCGTCTTACGGAGTACCTCCAATCTCCTAGTTTCACGTTCAGTGAGCGATTATTGAAAAACGCGATCATTCCTCCATCTCCACGAGCTCCAGACGGTAAAAGAAAACAGGCTGCTCCAGTCATTATATGGTCCCAACTGTACAATCAATAGATTACTTCTTATCCAGGTTTTGATGTGGCATAGCAATAAATAAAACCGCCAATCATTTTTCTGCCCAAAACGTTGCTTTTTTTTTTTTTATTAATCTAAAAAACGTTACAATATTATTTTAATTCTTTTTGTCTTCTAATTAAAATCTTAAACAACCTCCTAACACTACAAAAAAATATTACAATTCCAACGAAAAATTTCAACAGCAAAAATTTCCGTTGGAAATTCTAATAAATATTTCAACAAACTTAATTTTATGTTGGAATAAGTGTTGGATAGTTGAGGAATTCCAATGGATTTTTTTCGTTGGAATAGCTGTAGGAATTTATTTCCACAAGTTTTCCGTTGGATATTTGCTATTCTAATGGTCGTTTTTCCAACAGATTTTTATACGTAGGAATATCCGTTGGAATAGCTATTCCAACGGAAATATAAAAAATTTCAACGGAAAATTTCCGCTGGAATGTAAAATTTTTTTTGTAATGTAATTAAATTAATATAATCGGTAATCATGATATTAGATTTTATTTGTTTATGGAAATTCTTGGGATTCTCTTTGATTTTCCTGCCTAAAACATTTTCAAAGACATTTTTCTTTATTTTTTTACTAGTACAATACCCGTGTATTACACGGGTGCTTGTTAAAAAATTATTCTTAAATTTTAAAATTAATGAGAAAATTATATTAAATTTAGTTTACTTTTTTACCAAAAAAAAAAATATATTACTATATATTTTAGAATGATATGTGTTACTTATGACTTACATGTGATATATTATATTAGTTTTTATAACTTATATCATATAACTACTTCAAATATAAATATATTAGTTGATAAATAATTTTATTTTTCTAATTAATATTAAAAATAATTTTATTATTGTTATAAAGATAAATATAAATTATTTTTTTTTATACATCTATAAATTATTTTTTTTTATACATACAATATAGATGTTAAATCGAAGCTTGTCAAAAGAAGATTAATTTGATATATTACATATGTAAAACTGATAAAAAATACAAAAGTTATTAACTTTTAAAATATATATATACAATTCAATAGTTATAATAAGGAATGATATTAAATACAATTAATACATGTAACATGACCATAAATAATCAACATATTTATGGTAATCCGAACCTAATTATTTTTGGTTTGGAATTAAATTAAAATCTACCCAAGCCTAATAACGAAACATGTAATTTTGCCACATAGGATTTCGAAGCACCAGAAGCAGCCACATAGGCTCAGCGCATTCTGTATTAATATATAGGGGGGATAATCTTATTTTAATTAAAACTTTAACAAGCTCACTAATCAATGAATGTTTGTTTATGAAAAATTATTTTAATGTCTACAACATCATTACATCAGCTTATTTGGGGATTATTATTTTTTTTTTGGTACAAAGAAGGAGGCAAAAAGCCTAAAACCATTAGACAACTATACTCTGCGGGTGAGCAACGCCAATAAGGTCATGCTGTAGCCACGGTTTAACTGCCGACGGTGAATCTTGAAGCCGTTGATACCCACTAGGACAATGATGGGCTAGGGTCGCCAAACAGTCGGCTGCAAAATTGGCCTCCCTATAACAATGATTATTTGGGGATTCATTGAATACATAACATTATAACATAGAGAAAAAAAAAAGAATACATAACAGAATATACAACCCTTTTATAAAATCAATAAGATCAAACTTTACAATACAAAAAATATTACACCACCTCCTTTGTGATCTCTTCCCAGCAAACAATTATTAGAAAAAAATCATTAATTTTGTTTATAAAAAATAAAAGATAATCTATTAACAAATATATATGTCTTAAATGACGATTACACAAATAATGCACTAATTTTAGGGAGTGGAGCGTATATATAACAATATGGGAAACTACTGCAGTCTCGTTGACGGAATGGTTCCGTCAACGTTGGTTACCGTAGATTATCCACACAAGATAATTTTTATGTGTATCCAATAGTGTAAAACACTGACGGTACCATCCCGTAACGAGACTTTAGAATTTTCCAACAATATGACTATATCATTTAAAATATCCACAGATTTGGTACTATAAAATATTTATTTATTTAATTTTTTGATATTGATTTTGATTAATTGAATCATTGCAGTTACAAATCTACGTAATTAAAATACTCAACGACTGAACAAGCATATAAACATATGTCAATATTAATCAAATTAACTCAAGAGCGCTTGGATGAGATGGCTTGAGTCTCTTTCAGCTTAACTAGTGGTCTTGTGTTCGAGCCCTGGGAATGCAGCAGTGTTAAAACTCTTGAGGGAGAGCTTTGCCGCCCTTGTGGTCCTACCCGGCTCGATTCCGGATTAGTCAGTTTCCCTGTGGATCCGGAAACCGGAAGGTCCCTGTACCAAAAAAAAAAAAAAAATATTAATCAAATTATATTACTACCTCTAAAAATATTGTTGATTCTTCTATTCCAAACTAGTACGTATCCCGTGCGATGTACCGGTTGTATTTATTTTGGTAAAATTTATAATTGAAGGCTATTAATCAATAAGTTATAATATATAGAACATTTGTTAGGTAATCGTAAAATGATCGTTATGAAAAAATCATACATTATTAAAAAAACTCTTTGTTTTTCCATGCAAAATTATTTTTTACTTGGTAACCGTAAATCGATATTCACCAAGATTGCTCTCCACTTGGTAATTGTGAATTGCATAGTCACCTCATTTCTTCATTTTTTTGTTGATTTTCGGAATGTTACCACCATGAAATAAAACTATAGTGAAAATATGTAATATTGTGATAGATACTAAAGATATGATTATCGCCTCAGCCCCTCCCTGGAGAGGAAGTGGAACCCTTGGACCATCTGGTGAAGTTTAATTTTATATCGAGTATAAGGAAAATTGTTACCTTAAAGTTAAAGTGTGGATTTTGAGTATATTTTTTTTTTTCAATCATTCTCATTTTTTATGCCAAATTCATTCCAAAATTTGAGAACGATTTTGTTTTTGTTATGTTTTAACAGAGATTTGGAATTTCGGTTGTATCTTTTGTAAAACATATTTATAAAAAGAAAACTGTATATTATAACAAAAAGATGTTTACATGAGTAGTGAATTAGTGAATCGAAAATTGTGGTAATTTTAAAAAACATGTTACCATGATTGAAATGAAATCTTTAGAATTTTTTTTTTTACTTTTAGTTAAGTTGCATATATTGCATAACTATATATGAAAAAAAATAAAATATTTAAAGTTCAAATAGGCAATCTATTTATATGTATATAATAAAGTGTACAGTCCAAATAATTAAATTTTATTTAGCATTTATATTATTAATATTGATACCGTGATTATTGTAAAGTCCAACTCTCATTTTTACGGTAAATTTATATTATATTAAAATAAATTGATAAGTCTAAAAAAAGATATGGATTGAATTAAAAAGATTGAATAGTGGTTAAATATTTTGATATCATAATTATACTATTTTTAAAAAGATATTCCATAATATTTGGTTCCATAATAATACTGCTTTTAAATATAAGTGATTCCAAATAGCCGGATTTAGTGTTTAATCAAATATTATGGAATATCTTTTTAAAAATATCTAATTATTAATTTATTTGTTTCATATTTATATTTTATTTTTGCCAATTGACAATATTATGTTTGATCACATTGTGCACGCTGATAAT